TTCTTTCCAAAATATTCTATGTATTGTGATCCTTGAACCAGAGTGTCCTCTGAATATGGTTGTATTGGTATAAGATGCTCAAAACAGCAAGTATTATTTCTGTATATTCACTGTTGGAAACTGAGACTTGGACTTTAAAGGAGTTACACCAGGTCATTCAAATAGGGACTGGAAGGTACCCAGGGCTCAGGTTACAGTGTTGTAGTTGTCAGCTGCTAGCCTCAGAGATGCAATTTCAATTTGAAAACCTAGACTTCAGTCTGAAATCCTAAATGTTTGAGTTTTTTCTTCTTTTATTTTTCTTCTGATTTTTAAATCAAGTTCCAAAGCCTGGGTAGCTTTTAATTCACTGCACACATCTGTTTGTCTATTTTCCCGCTTCTGGTTTGCAAGCTCTGGTTTGGTTTATTTAGTTCCAGATGCCTCTGGATGCTTGAAATAATGAAGTTGCAGAAGTAAATTTAACCTCAAACCAGATCATCAGGTCTGTCAGACACAACTTCTTTATCCTGGTGATTCCTGTGTTTAGTGAAAAGCTGAGGGTTGGGCCTTCCTATGTCCATATGGTGATTAACATATCTTCTCCCATCTTGGAGATTATTCTTCATAACTGAGTTTTATCTCATAAAGCAGTGAACAATGAGCACTCCGCATTCCTTCCTTCCTCTGTTCACTTATTCAGTTGGCCATGGTTTTCCTGAAAACCTATTATGCTCTTAGTAGTACAGTGATAAAGGAGGCCTACTCCCTGCCACCCAAGAGTTGAGGGCCTGTGGGCCCCAAACAACCTGCTATGTTCTAGCGTGGCACCTGCTGCCTACTTCAGCATGGTTCTATGTGCAGCACACAGAACCCATGCCACAAGATGAAGACTGCAATTTTGAATGTTGGAACCACCTTTGTTTTTTGCTACATAAGAGAATTAACCTTGGGATTTGGTTCTTTCCTTTTGAGCCAGAAAGATATTGGGGTGATAGCATCACCTACTTGCCAGAAACGCTCAGAGATTTGGGATGAATGTGTGACTTAAGAGTAGGAGGTTGTCGTCATCAGCTGCAATGCTGCTTTATGTAGATGGAGTTTCCTTTGGCTTCTGGATGGGCATGAGGTCAACTTTACCATGGCTACACAATAGGTTACAATAAACTTCCCACTTCAGCTTCAGAGTTCATCTTGGGACCATGTAGCTCATTATTTGTTCTGATTATTTGATATGTCTTTGAAGCTAGGTGAGGACTATCCTTCTTCCACCCTGTTTTCTCCTGGCCAGAGTTGTCTAATGCCATGGGCAGTTTTGGAGAAAGGGTAATTCACTCCAGTGACCATTCATTCTTAACCAAGAGAAAATGAGCCATTAACATTTAATGAGCCTTTAGGCCACAGAAAGGTGAAGAGGGAGATTGATTTTCTCCATAATTTTCACCCTCCACTCCCAACTTCTAGCTCAGCTTGGAATGGTGGCACCCAAGGGCAGAGGTAAGGACATGTTCTTTCTTATTGGCCTGTGCATTTTCAGATATGTGTGCAATGTGAGTTGGTGGAGAGAGAATGTGGCCAAGCTATGTGCTGCTAGAAACAGGTCAAGTTGGGTTGGCGGACACTTGCTTTCAAGTGTTGGTGGCTGAGATGAATTTACAGACCGCCATACACTTTTCCACTCCCTGAAAGTTACGTGCTACTATCTGCTTTTACTTAACCTCAATCCCCACACTACTGAAAGGCTTGATCTTTGGCTGTATGTATGGATATGATGATAGATACGAAAGAGTAAAGATAAATTGTCTTTGAGGTTTATTGTTTTATTGTTATTGGCATGCTATCAAGCTCTGTGACTTCTGTGTCATTCGGCTTACCAAAGTGCCCTGAAACTGAGCTTCTGTTCTAGAAATTAACCTTTCCATCTGCAGGCAAACAGAATGTCACCACAACCATCTGGAAAAGGTCTACACAATATTTTCATTTTCCATGCCACAGAAGGAATGGTGAAATGGTGTGACATGAAAGTAATTGCTACTTGTGATCTTTTACAGAGCTCTGCAAGCTATATAAATTACGTCCAGCCTGTGTCCAGGTCCTTCTGTCTTTCATGAAACTCTAGTCTTTCAGAACTACTTAGTGTCTTTTGAAAAATAATGCAAACATCCTTCCACCTGTGCTTAGTTAGGGAGGCAAACTTTGTACCTAGTGAACCATAGTGTCTATGCTCGAGCAGGAGAAATGCTGGTTTTCATGTCAGTAAGCAAATGCCAGTGGGGGTGAGGTTCCGTCTTTCAAGCTTGGTTGTTTTGGGATGATGTTCTCCATTTCATGGCTCTATCATTCCCTGTGCTGGCAAAGTTTTTTTCTAGGATCCTTTGTGACCATATGCAAGCTAGAGAATAAAGTGGGACATGGAGACATACTTTATTTTAATAGCTGCATCCATAGAGACCATGTGTCCCTTCCACTGATCCCTCTGGCAAAACCCATCTATGTGTGGGGGCCTGGAAGACAAACTCCACTTATGCATTCAAAAGGAAAAAACAACTTAGTGAAAAATCAATCAACATCAATCATGATCTGGGGTGGGATCACAAATAAACATTTACTTTATTGCATATCTTTGAGTTTACAAACATGTCTTTATTACAAATTTCTCTGGTAGAGCCAACAAAGATGGCTTGTAGTGTACTAATTTGAGAAACTTTCAACCACAGGAACCTGGGGAGGTTGATATCAAGTGGGTGCTCACTCACTTTCAGATCCTGCAGATTCGTCTGTAGGACAAAAATGGAAATCCACAAGGCAAAGGCCCACAAGCATCCTAATGCTTTCAGGAGAGTGGTTCTTCTTTGCAGTTACAGCTTCCCCAATGGCTCCTCAAGCTCACAAGTGCATGTCCTAAGGACTGAAGGACCTGAAAGTAAAAAGGCTAATTGCATCTCTCTAGGACTTGGAGTCCATGTTTATGAAAGGGGAATGTGTGCATTTCTACAAGTAAGCTAGTTCAAGTTCCTATCACATTTCTGGGCATGCAGTAGGTGCACAATAAACATTGAAATGTACTTAGCAGAGAGCTGGGCTCCTAAGTTACCAGTAGAGCATTGGGAGCCACACTCTAGAGACAAAGTAGTCTTTGCTATTAAAAATATGGTCTCTGGACCAACAACATTCATGGTACCAGGAATTTAGGAGAAATGTAAAGCCTTGGGTCCCATCACAGAGCTTCTGAATCAAAATTCACCATTTAACAAGAACGGCAGGTGATTCCATCACTGAACAAAATCTGCATACTAAGATTTGAGATTTCCCCCTATGTTAGATGCCATCTCTAATCTTGCCATCTCTAATCTGATCAGGCTAAGTTGCTCCATCTGTGGGAGGCCCAGCAAGCCAGAGGGTAAGGCTGATCTAGAAACAATACAATTCCCAAACTGCTAGACATCAAACTGCCAAGTTTGTGTCCCTGAAATTGAAGAATGAATTCCATGGAATAACGGAGGGTAAGTATAGGCAGGGTTTATTAAGAGACAGGTCCTAACAGACCAGGAGGATCCCAAACGTGGGTTGTCTCCAAGGCACTTTGTCAGGGTTAATTTATACAACAAAACCACAGTGTGGATACAGTGTGGGCAAAACTATAATTTAATCTATGTGGTTACACATACAGCCTCTGGGCTATTATTGGTGCAGTGGGGAAATGAGTCACATGGAAATGGGTACATGGGAAGAACAACCATATTTTTTGGGAAAGGACAGGTCCAAATGCACTGGGCACCCACTGGAGCCTTTGATGCCTCCCTGGCCTTATGGGTCCAGGTGGTGCCAATAGCAGAATAATTCCAAATTACTGTTTATGCTTTAGACATGTAGGCCTGGCCATTGTACCTCGGTCTCCAGGCCTGGCCTTCTTCAGATGTACTTCCAGCCACAATTCTGATACAAGCCCTTATTTTTAACTGACTTCATTTAGAGCTGGAGTCCCTCTTGGACTATCTATTAGTTTCTATCTAACTTAGCTGCCTATGACATTCCCCCTCTGAAGAGCTGTCCCTAACTGTGGTTAGGGGAGAATGCGAATAGTTTTGGCCTAGCTGGTTGGAGCTGAGAAAGGAAACAGCAGTCAGGGATTTTCTCCAGAGAGCTCATCTAAGGGATCGAGGATAGAAGTCATGTTGTAATTTAGCAGCTTTGAAGTCCATTTTCAAGGTCTATTTAACGGATCCCAGTAAAAGGGTCTGGCACATTGGTCATTGGTTCTGTCTGCATGGTCACTTGGAGTCTGGCAACCTCTAATCAAGAATAAACTACCTTTACCAGGAGATTAAATACATTCAACCAAACCATGAGTATTAGAATGGGAAGGCAGATGGAGATCAGGAGCCACATCAGATCTACTCTTTAGGGACTGGAATAACAATTATAACCAGCTGGCTCTTACCCTCAACAAGAACAAATAACCTTTACCAAGAGATCAAAGTCTATACAACCAAAACATGAGCACTAGAAAGGAAAGGCACTTCTACCCAGACATTGCTGTGAAGGGACTGGAATAATTACTGTCACCAGCTGGCTCCTAGTCCTTCTACAGAATAAGGTTATCTATAAGACTAGTATTTCTTTGTCACCAGTCCTCCCAGTTTTAGTTGTGAAAAGGAGAGTTTGGTCATCTCAAAAGACAATTTTAGCTATGACATTTAAAGTCTCTTTCTGAGCGTTTCATTTGATTTCTTTTTGCTTAAGAGAAAGCAGAATCTGTAAGAATCAGACAGTGGGTTCCTATCTGTGGGCAGACTGGGCATATGACTTCCCACTTCCCCCTGAGGGCACCTGCCTAAATGGCCACAGCAGTGGATCAAAAAAGTGTCAAGTTTGTGCCCACAGCCTCCCTATGGTAATTCCTGGAAACCTCACAGAATACTGCACTTGCTCAGCAGATCCAAGATTCCACTGAGTCATTCATTCATTATGACACTGCCATAAACCAAGCCCTCTTGCCTGACTCCACCCTCTTAGTTTTCAATAAAGGGGCAAACATAGCTGCTCTAGAAGAGCAGAGAAATTGAGACCAGATCAGAAACCTCTGAACCTCACACTGAAGCTGGTACTCCAACACTCCACCATGCAGGGCTCCTCAGTCTTTCTGTGCCTGCTGGTCTTAGCAGCCACCTTTAGCTCCCTCCTGTTGGCTCAGCCAGGTAAGGCCCTGCCTCCTGCACAGTATTCCTCTCTGGGTTACCACAGAGCATCGCAGCACAAGGGGGTACCACATTAGGAGCTGCTCTTCCAACATGAGCAGCCATACGTGAACAAGGAGAGAGCCTAAGCACCTGTTGCCTCTGGGCAAAGAGCTAAAAGTCCGGCTATGGACTCCAAATTCAACTGCTTGCAGGGTTCTAACTCTGGAGACGTATCAAGAAAGTACTGCTCCAGCAGCTTTCAGCAGTGCGTTGGGGCATGGGTGGTCAAAGAGAGGGGCATCCGAAAGCAGAGTATTTCCAGGGAGGAAGAAGGCGACGCTGGTCTGTGCTTCATTCAGCCCAGCTTCCAGAGCCAATGGCTCTGCAGGTGAGGTAGGTATCAGGGACACTCCCAACCAGGCATGGATTCTAGAGTTGAAAAGGAGGCTGCATGGGTAGGATTCCCAGCTGATCTTTGGCCTTAGTAATTTGAATTATTAGCCCATTCTAATAACTTTCACCCTAACTCATCTAGTTTTAACACTTCCTCTTTCAGGTTTATTGCCAACATTGCACACCCATTTTATAGAATGGCAAAATGACTGAATGCATCAAAGATCTTATTCTAGCTTAGATGAAGTACTAAGATTTCACAGGTTCTGCCTCTCCCTATGCTGTTCCTTTACATTTTTCTCATGACTCTTTTCTGCTCTGAGATCAGAAACATCTCACTATCCTAAAATGCTTCTTCCTTGTGATTTGTTTTCCAGTTGGAGTAAATACCCCGATCTGCTGTTATGTATTTAACAGAAAGATCCCACTGAAGAGGGTGAGGGGCTACGAAAGAATCACCAGCAGCAGGTGTCCCCAAGAAGCTGTGATGTGAGTAGGGCGTGCCACCTGTCCCCAATCCAGAGTTTGTCCTTGGAGAGAGAGCAAGGGATAAGCCCCCAGCCTTAGAGTCACAGAGTTACACCTTCAAACCCAAGGCCCAACAGCTCCCTGTAGGAACACTGAAGTCAGAAAGGAAAAAGTTGACTCCCCAAATCCTTCTCCACATGGGCGCACTTTCAGGACATCACAGTTTCTCAGCTTGAAATCAGCGTGGCTTCACCTGGCAAATGAGTGGAGCAGTTCTCCAGGTTTCCTCCCTCCACCTGCCTCCTCCTTCCCCTCCCAGGGCAGCCCGCTAGCTCAGAGTAGGCTGTGCTCCTGCACTGAGTCTGCAGAGCATTAACTGTGTCCCCTCTCTCCCACAGCTTCAGGACTTTAAAGAACAAGGAGGTCTGTGCTGACCCCACACAGAAGTGGGTGCAGGACTACATTGCCAAACTGGACCAGAGAACCCAGCAGAAACAGAACTCAACTGCACCTCCAACTTCAAAGCCTTTGAACATTCGTTTCACAACCCAAGACCCCAAGAACCGTAGCTAATTTATCTCCCACCGTGTTTCCTCAGTAACCTCTGATGCTAGTATGAACTTTATTGACATGAAATGATGTCTTAAAAGGTATTAATCTTATTTAACTTATTGATGTTTTAATTTTATCTTCCACAAACACCAGTGTATTTAGAGTTGGGAATTTAATTTGCTTTCTATGAACTTCAGTTCTACACCTAGAATGTTATTAAGGTCTTTGTAAGGATCTCAAATGCAAAAAAAATTGCTTTAAATTTCAGAACACTTTTAGAATTATTGTTGTAAAAATAAATATTATACAATTATTGAATAAAAGTATATATATGTATTTATAAAATCTGACTTTGGTGTTTGCTTGAAAGAAAGCACAGAACTGAGATTAGAAATGAAATAGGAGAAACATAATTCCCAACTTGTTAGATATCAGATGTGCTTAGCTCTTGTCCCCTGAAATTGAAGAATGAGTTCCAAGAAACAATAAATGTTAAAAGTAAGAAAAGTTTGTTGAGAGACAAGAGGGTCCCGAAACTTGATTCCTACTGAGGCTCTTTGTCATGGGGAATTTATACAGCAAAGTCACCATGTGAATACAATGTGGTCAAACTACAATTGACTTACAGTGTTGTAAGTACAGTCACTTAGCTTATATTGATCTAGTAGACAGGGGTCACAAGGCAAGGCTGCATCGAAAAAAATCAAAAGTATTCTTGGAAAGTAATGAGTCTAGATGTTCTAGTCACCCAGCTGGGTGACAGCTGCTTGTGACATGCTCATCTGTGAGTAGAGCATGTAACCCCTCCCTGATCCAGAGTTCTTCCTTGGAGAGCAAGGGATAATTCCTCAGCCTTAGTTCCCAGTGGGAAAACTGATGTCAGAAAGGAAAAGTTGACTTCCCAAATCCTTCTCCATATGGGGGCACTTGATCCAGTAGAGGATCTACATAAGTTGCTAATTACAATAGAGTTTCAAGTTATTCCCTATCCTTTAGAGAGGTATGAAAGCCTATCCACTGTATCTTTACTTTGATGTACCGCCAGCTACAATTCTGATATTTTTTATTTTCCTGACTTGTTTGAAAGCCTAGTTCCTCTCTGACTGTATATTAATTTCTGCCTAACTTAGCTGCCTATAATATTCCCCTTCTGAAGAGCTGTCCTTAATTATGATTAGGGAAGAATAGGTCTAGTTTCATTCTAGCTGAGATCGCGGATTCTGTACTCAGGAGTCTTTTCCAGAGACCTGATCTGAGGAGCTGTGATAAAAGTCATGCCGTAGCTTAACAGTTATGAGCTTCCTTTAAGGAGTCTGGCACATTTTTCATTGATTCCATCTGCATGGTCAGTTGGCATTTGACAGCCTCTAATCAAGGGTAAACTACCTTTACCAAGAGATTAAAGCACACACAACCAAACCATGAGCATTAGAATGGAAAGAGAGATGGGGATAAGGAGCCACATCAGATCTACTCTTAAGAGACTGGAATAACAATTATAACCAGCTGGCTGCTAAATCTGCCTGCTGATGGAGTTTATCTATAAACCCAATATTTTAAAAATATTTTTATCTGATCTGAATAATTTATCTAATTAAACAAATTTCATTTATCAATGCTGTCATTCATTTTTGCTGTATGGATATGTAGAGTCTGGTGGTTCTCAAGGACAATTTTAGCTATGGAATTTAAGAACTCTTGCTGAGCTTTGATAACTTATACTGTAGCTTTCTAGACTCATTTAGACAGTGACAGCTGGAAACTGCTAGCAGGAGTCTGTGACTGGAATTCCACTTTTATGTCTAGTTTTATTACTATGTTATCGTTTGTTATACATATTTGGTTATGCTCTTTGGCTGGCTGTTTAAGATCAAGTTAAACTGAAACCTGTGTTAATCAAAATTAACCTCTTCCTATCTATTAGGCCAGTTAAGGCTCTTCAGGAGTTACTTTTGGAGCCATATGCAGAGCCTTTCAGCTCCTCTATCAGCGTGAGCTACCAAGATGTTCATGATCTTGCTTGATCATGTGGCTTCCTGCTGATGCATTGGGAAGGTTTCTTTTTCTGGTGACCCGTTTTTAGCATTCTGTACAATGTTTAACTCCTGTCTTCTGGGGTCTAGTAGTCTCCCTGATCACGAAGTTGGGTGACTTACCAAAGTTGTAGGCTCCTTTATAAAATATTTCTTCCTGTCTTGGTCCTTGTTGGCCTTGGAGGGCCATGGCCAAAAAGTATTGGCTATTCTCTCAGCCCAGCCACCCTTTCTTATGTTTTGTCCCTGTGTCTCAGTTTTTGAACACCCAAGAGATAAAGTATACCACTACTGCAGTAGGGGGTAATAGTTTTAATTATATTATCTAGATGACAAGCACCTGGAAAGAGAAAGTATGGCCAGAAGATTATGAAATTTTTGCCAATCATGATCATCACAGAGATGTAATTCTTGTGGAATGCAAACAGATAAAGTTTTACTGAGAATGTTCTAGATCAAGAGCAATATAGCATTTTAGTTGACAGTCATGATGGAATTGCTACCTCTGGATATACCTTTTAATCTCCATTTTAATATCAAATAACTTTTTAGACAGCTAACTTTGATTCCTATTAACCTATATAAAAGACATTTAAAAATTGTATCTAATTTGTCATCTTTTAGCCATTTGGTTACTCCGGTGACATTTAAGCAGAATACACTTGTTTATAGATGTACTTTACAGATTATTAATGCCTTATCTCTGTTACACTGATATTGACTGGAATTTATAGTTTCTACCTATAACTGGTGTCATACAGTTATATAATACTAGCCCAAGTCTGAAAAGCTATCCACATTATCTGGCTGGCTTCCCCATATTAGATTGGCATTTGCATTTCATAACAAATAGAAAACAGTAAGAGAAAGCCAGGTACTTGAGCCTGAAAAAATGGAAAAGGTTTGCCACCACAAATAACTTTAGTCTACAAATCACCAGCATGATAAGATATTCTTTCTGTTTTGTATCTTTGAAGACCTGCACATTTGGGAAACATGAATACATTTATATATTATGAGGTTAGTAATAAATTAATGTTACAACTATCTAGCAATTTTGCAGATATTTATTTCTGTTTTTTTCATAGGCAAAATCTAGAAGACTTCAACAGGTTTTGTATTGTGTAATGCGTTGACAAGAATTAACAGCATTGTTACAACTCTGATGAATTTAGAAAATAGTGTTAGTGCCTGGAAATAGACTTATGGGTCTGATATGTCTCTGCTGTACCACTCGGCCTGCTGCAAATAGACTCATTATAATATATACAAATGCATCTCGTCTATAGCAAAACATATGGTATAAATCTATACCATAATATCTATATCTATATCTATATATCTATATCTATATCTAAATCTATATCTATAAAATCTTTGGTCAAAGAGAACCCTTAAGTTATGGTACACAAACAATAATAGACATTGCATTTGTAAGATTGATTTTTTTATATTATCTTGGTTATTCAACAACCTAATGGAGATATGTTGCCAGCTTTCTTTTTATTATTTAAAGAGAAAAAAATAAAGGAAGTAAAATTAAAAAAACAAAGCAGTAAAAGGGTACAAATAATACAGAATTTCAAGGAAAAAATACAGTAAGATATCACTAGTTAATAGGTTACATATTGTCATCTTTGAAATAGTTGTCCAAATTATAAAATTAAAGCATGTAAAGTGAGCATTCATACAGTGAGATTGCACACAGTGCCGATCAATGATCCAACAAAAGTTCAGTAAAATGGATTTCCATCCTACACATTTAAACATGCATGCAGTTATATCCCTTAGACCACCTTCCTTTCCTCTCTTTTTAATAAAAATTACACTTTTTGGGTTTTTTTACTCCCACAATTCTTATTATTTTTTGGAGAGAATAAAACCTAATGTGGCTAAACAAAACAGAGTCGGTTAGAACAAAAGGATGGGCATAGTACATGATGTAAAAATAGAATATCAGGTGATCTAAAATGGTTACCATTGTGCCTCTTGCTATTTTTTAAAAAAGTTTCCTATATCGTCAGGTATAATAGAATTGATCAAAACAGTACAGAACAAGACCAATAAAACCTACACTGGAGACCTTACAGGATTGCAAAAGAAGATAATAGTCAAGCCATAATGGGCACCTTAGTGAATCTTATTGCCTTCAAAGTGGTTGCCTATACCCTCAAACGATGCTATCAAACAAAAAATATAGTAAAATCTGACAGAACAAGATGGGGAGAGCAGTACTGGGGATAATATCAGGTTAATAGGAAAACAAAAAAGTTACTATAATATATCCCGCTATTTTTAAATTTAGTTTTCCCTTAATTGAAAAAAAAGTAAGAAAAAATAGATTAATTTTAAAAAAGGATGGGGTTGAGGTAAAAGAGGACATTGTATTAGAAGAACACAGGTCAGAATCGAACTATTTAAGCATCATTGTGTTTCACCCCCAGATGGTCTAACGTAATAGTAGTCACCATAGTGCCTCCTTCCTTGAATTATTTGAGTATAACTTCATATACTATCGCACCAAGCATATCAAGTCAGTCTGAAGCTATTCAAGGGAATGAAGAAATTACAGGGTATTTAGAACCAGTTAACAGAAAACTAACAGTGGTTTCTATATTATCTCTTTGCCTCTAAAAAATTTTGTTTATACTATCGCATATAGTAAAATATAGTAAGATACCACATGTTAAAACCAGTGGAAACAGATGTACAACAGCTTGATGGGACTTCAAAACAAGATGATATTAAATCAGCACTAGCTTTTATGATGTGTTGTTTTCTTCAGAAAAGCTATTCGTACTATCACCGATACTAAAACCGAGCAGCCCAGGTTAAAACCATTGCAATTAATGAGTGATAACATTATATGATTAAAACCAATATGATTGGTATTCATGATTACCATATAATTTTATGTATTCTTATCATTTCTTACACTAGGGAAACTATTCAGTATTTATAGATGTGAGTTTGATTTATTTCACTTATGAGTATGGTTTCAAGTGCATCTATTTATTTACAAATATCTCAATGTGATCATTCTTTATAGCTGAGTAGTACTCTATTGTATAAAAATACCAAAGATTTTTATCCATTCCTCAGTTGATGGACACTTATGTTGTTTCCAAGATCTGGCTATTACAAATTGTGCTGCTATAAACATGGGTGCACATATATCACTGTGGTATGATGCTTTCAGTTCTTCTGGGAATATGCCTAGAAGTGGAATAGCTGGGTCAAATGGGGCTTCCAGTCCCAGCTTTTTGAGAAATCTCCAGACTGACCTCCACAATGGCTGTACTAGTCTACACTCCC